TTTGAAAAGTCATGATTGTCATGTTCTCCTACAACGGCTCATTCCAATTGGAATACGTGGGTATCTTGACAAAGAAATCTATACTACTTTATTTGAGTTAGGTAATTTTTTTTAGAAACTTTGTTCAAAAACATTGAGGATTACAAACTTGAAGACATCACATGATCGAATTGTTTTAATACTTTGCAAGTTGTACTTGTGTCGTATAAAGGTACCTTGGCACTTTGAAGAAGTATGTTGGCAATCGTGCTCATCCTGAAGGTTCGTTCGCAGAAGCTTAAATTATAAATGAGTTTTTGACTTTTTCCTCACTATATCTAAATGGGATGGAAACTGTATTTAATCATGTGGAACAAAATAATGATTGCGGTGAACGTAGTCTAGGGTTGAAAGGTGTCGTAGAAAGAGCGTGATATGGCTCAATGGTTCGTCTTACATAACAGCCCTAAGATAGATTCGTATTTGGAGTGAGTTTACTTTTACATATATGAATTCATGATTTTCAAAGTTTTTTTTTAAATGTTGTCTATTATTTAATTCATACAATCACATTTTTTTTTGTAAGTAGAGAGCACAAAAATTTATTGTGAGAGCAAAATAAACAAGACGTTCATAGAAGACATTAACAAGAATTTCTCAAGTAGTTCAAAAAACGAGTAAGAAATATTGTATGAAATACTAAGAATTGTCCATTGTCTATTTTTGTGAAAAAATGGTAATATTATTTTCGTTATGGTCCCTTTGTAGATCAATCAATTGCGATCTGAAGGGTTAACTGAAGCTACTAATGAATTATGGTCATTAGCAAATGGTCCTGATTTTACGGTTAGAATGTACTTAGGTTGCATATGCAATGGAATCCGATTTCACACTAAAGATCGCAACAATCGTCTTAAAACTCAAAATAGTGGATTGGTTGTTGAAGGGTATCATGAGGGAGAAACAATCGACTTCTATGGTTATTTATGTAAAGTATAGGAAATGAGCTATATTTTTGGATATTGTATTGTTTTTTTCCAATGTGAATGGTTCAATCTTTGCTAAGGGAAAAACAATGCATATTGATGCACATTTCACAAGTATTGGTGTCAAAAGTCATTGGTACAAAGATGATTCCTTTATCCTACCTAGTCAAGTGCAACAGGTCTTCTATGTTAATGATAGCAAGTATGGTCCACATTGGCAAGTAGTTCAACGGGTCCAACATAAAGGCATATGGGATATACTATAGTTACCTAACTTAGAAGTAGGTGATGATGAACTTGCTAATTTAGGTGATGTGTTTCAACAAGATGAAACCACGAAAGATGTTCCTATAGTTGTTGAAGATCGTGATACCTACCCAATTCATAGGACCGAGCTTGATCCTGTTCTTATTTCAAGTAAAAGAGATATGACATCTGGAAACAGACAAGATAAGGATATCAAAGATGATTTTATTTGCGATGACGATGATGAGACACTACTAGAGTATAGTGATTCTGAAAAAGATACAAATAACCTTTCTGAATCCGAAGTTGATCTAGATATGTAGGATATTTTACAAATTTACTAGGTGATGATATGATTATTTATTGTTTTTCACTTAATTTATTTATGATTGAATATTTGCATAATTACCTGAAAATCTTAATATTTCAGAACACACATATGTCTCCAAAACATAAACTCATAGCCTTATCGGCCCCTACACGTTCAGATGTACAATCTGGTGGGACGATTGAATCACCGATATCGACTACGCCTAGTCCACATACTGTGGATAGCAACAGCGGTATGATTTTATTTACTTAAGTTAAATCTAAATTATTTTACATTATTCTATTTTATTTTGTTATTGGCAGGGTCAACTTCGAGACAAGGGCGAGGCCCCACTTGAGGAAAGGCTACAGAGAAGTTGTTAGTAACACATGAAACATTACGTGTTGAAATCCCCGTAAGTGTGGTTCCTATTGGTGAAAATGCACAATGTTTCATTACAAAGATTGGAACCCTAGCTAGGGGTTTCGTCCCAATTAGAGATGTGACTCAATGACACGAGTTGTCTATTAAAGAACAAGCTCATATCATTGCACGACTCTTGGTAATTAAATATTTTCTTTATGTTTGTTGTTAACATATATACTCCCTCCGTTCCTAAATATTTATCGTTTTGTTCCATAATATATGTCGTTTAATGAAACCAAAACATAATTAATATTTTTTCTTCCAAATTTACCCTTAACTTTTCAATGCATTAGATTAGGTAAAGGTTAAGTGTCTTTCATATTCTTTTTCTTCCCAATACATATTGAATAAGGATATTTTAGTCTTGTGCAATTATTTTTTACTCATATTAGAACTATTTAATAGCTTCCTTAATCCCTGTGCAAAAACCTTAAACGACAGATATTTAAGAACGGAGGAAATATTTATTTATTCTTGAAACGATGTACTACTTTTTTTGTGCAAACTAAGTTTAACGTTATGGGGTATGGTGAATTTAATCATGTTGCGGAATTCATTGACAAAAAATTTGCTAAGTTGTATAATCACTGCCGTTGTAGAATGCACAAGTACTACATTAAATTTGTGGAGTCTGGGGTGGACCCGAAAAGTAAGTCTTATGGTGAAGTTAGTCAGGATGATTAGATTTATATAATAGAACACATCTACAAGGATCAAAAATTCAAGGTAAACTAATATATATTTTAGTGATGTTGATGGTTTTTAATGCAACATTACCAGAAATTTATCGTTCCTATTTTAGTGATGTTGATGGTTTTTAATGCAACATTACCAGAAATTTATTGTTCCAACACAATTTTTTTTTCTTTTTTGGTAGCAACAATCAAAGGCAAATTCTGATAATCGTGTTAAGTTGTCTTACAATCACACTATGGGTTCCAAGTCCTTTCTTTTTGCGATGCATAATATGGTTATAATTTTTTAACTTAAAATTCTTTGTCTTTTATTTGTTTAAAATATTGACAATATATAGTTTCATGTGAATTTTTGAAAACAGTTGAACCATGAGACACACGAGCCACCTCATATCATGGACTTCTTTCACAAAACCCACATCAACAAGAAGTCAAGGAAGTGATTCTCACCAGATGCAGAGTCTCAATATGTAAGAATATCAATTGCCTTTATATTTCCATTTTCAAAATTCATAGGTTTTGTTGTTGGGTTATAAGTTCTTTAAAATTTTAGAAACGGATGAAGGAGTTAAATGATCAACCCACAGAGGATGGTGCATCCCCGTTGTCTCAAAAGGAGATTACATGCACTGTCCTTGGTGCAAGATTTGGCTATAAGAGGGGTTATGGGGTTGACATGATGTCTTCTTCTTCGATAAATGTTGCCAAGACTATTGCAGATAAGGAGAAAGTAAAAAGTTTGAGGCAGTTGTTGCGACCCTTCAGAGTGAAAATGAAACCCGACAAAAAGAGTTGGATGAGACTAAGACAAAACTCAAGCAGATGGAAAGGATGCAAGAGATGATGCTACAGCAAATGACAGAGGTGAAGTTAATAATGCAACATGGTGGGGGAAATGGGGAGACTAGTTAGACGACTTCAAGTTGGTAAACATTTTAAATTCTAAATATATGCTTAATTTGTTGTTTATTCAAATAAATAATTTCAATGGTGCTAATGCACTTTTGTTGTCTTTAATGCAGATTGACAATGAATTACTTGTAGTTGGTTTTGGCGATAAGATCTCTTCCTTTATGGTCTAAGTTGTTTTGAGTTCTTGTGACATTCAGATATTGTGGCATTTAGTTTTTTTCACTTTGGGTTTTTACAAGAATATTTTGGTATGGGATTTTTGTATGAAATCCTGTACGAATGTTTTAGTATGAATTCTTCTATGAATGTTTGTATATAGATTTTGTATAAATTTTTTGGAAATTATTTATTTTTGTTTTATGGATTACTTATTTTTTTAATGATCTTCAATGTTTGAAGCACAACAGCAAATATCTTTCGATTTGTTAAAGGGACAAAATTAATCATAAAATGTCACTCTGTAGAAACAATTTTGTTTAGCGAAGAGTAAAATTTGGTTGCTAAAAGTCTCTTATTTTTTGCCAATGAAAGTATTCATTTATTGTTTGGCGACAATAATATGTTGGTCGCAAAAGACGTACCTTGATTTTCAACTACAAATATTATGTCGTCGCCAAAGAGAGAAAATATGACCAAAATAAAATTTCTTTCAGCGACAGAGGCTTTTTTGCGACAACCAGATGATTTTGTAGGTAACTAATTTTTTGTCGCTAATAATCTATTTTAGCAACAATACTTTAGTTGGTCGCCAAAAATGTTCAATGACAGTCTACCGCGACAAATTGGTGACTAATATTTTTCGTCACAGAAAAATTATAGCGACGAATTATTCACTTTTAGCAACAAAATTTTTTGCCGCTAAAAAATAATTTTCTTGTAGTGGGATACTTTTATATGCAAAGCAATATCTATAATTTTTAGTTTTAATCTTTACTCATTCCTTTTGATTTCACATACCATATAATGTACCAAAAAAAATCTATATGACTTGGAAGATATGTGGATGGTTTCCAAGTATTATCCATTATCATATGTCCAGAAGTGTATAAATGAGTTGATTACTCTAGAATGTTAGTAACAAATACTTTTAAGTAAATAATCTAGTTAAATGTTAGTTCTTATTCATTTAATTAATCATGTTCACTTTGTAGATGTACAATAGTGAGACGATAAGTAATTTTCTAAAAATTAAAAATTATTAATGTTATTTATTATTGTGAAATCATTACATAATAGTATAAATCTAAAAAATAGGATATGGGGGTATGACCAGTTTAAAAAAAAAGGGGGTATGGCAAAGATACGTCCATAACTTATGTACGTATCTCAGTCATACCCGTATCCTATCTATCTTTTAAAATTATGATATATCACTTTATCGATATCATATCATACTCTATTTCGAATCTGTTTCTGTGCTTGTTAAGATGAATCCGGCTGAACACAATGGTTACCCTTGGTTTTGCTCTTCACACAGGGATGTTGGCCAAGTCCGTATCAAACTGTAGCTATTCTTTTAACACTGGTCAATGGTCATCCTTGACTTTGCAATTCACGCAGAGAGAGAATGAGATCCGCCGATTTAGGCGGTACTCAAGCCCTCCGTGGATTTCGGTGGTGTTAACCAACAAAAATTCTCTCCTGACTTTATAAGCATGCAATAAATTATTATATTTCCAACAACCATATGAAATCTTTGTATTAAAAAAAAGTGATGACTATTCAATTAACTCCACTTATTAGTCTTTGCCATCATGCCCCATGAAAAGCAAACAATTCCCAAGTGATCAAGTGTTTTATATTTCCAACTTCATCAGCCGCTAATGGGGGGCATTAATCTGACCCATCAACACAAATACAATATAAATTTAATACAACCTAATCCTAAGTTGACACGATTAATAAAGACGTGTAATAAATGAATTGAATTAATGTTTGACACTTATAATACATTATTTACGTTTTTTTTAGTTGATATTGACATAAATTCAACACGAATTACAATGACACAATTCAAAAATACCAACACGTGAATGACACAACACAAATTCACACCCCTTGCTGCAAAATTCCCCCATTACACACTCATGTAGTGTTGAGACAATCTAAGAACACCTGAAAATAAACAAATTCCTATTACGGATTTAGCCCACCGAAAGCAAGTCTTGGAATGTTTTTTTTTTTTTTCAACAAAAATATGTTCATTAGGAATGCTAATTTTGTAAAACATACCAATCAAAATCACGGCATTTCAAGAGTCGATTGGTTTTTCCAAGTAAATAAAATGTATCCGGTCTGTTGGAGCATATACTAATCTTTCGAGTCACATGCAACAAATAATTATTGATATCAATCTCTGGATAGTTTCGAAATATGACTCGTAGTTAGTACTTCCAATCTTGTAAAATGAAACTCCGAAGATTGACCAACTTTTTCAACCCATAGGATTCTGTTATTGTCCTTGTGAAATTAGGGCTACACCCAAGTGTGATATATTGCCGGAAGTCAAGTAGTCTTTGTTAAATTGTAGGGCTAGCTGCAATTAACAGTGACCCGCATTTATGAACACCAAGAATAGCTACTCTATCATGCAGAATTGTTCGGCCATTGAAGTTAGGAACCCTTAAATATAGCTTCAATTGCAAAAGTCCAAAACAAAATTGGACAAAAATTGTGTCACTTTGCTTCTCAAATTTTGTGATTTTATTTCAAGCTACCCACAAAACTAATGACATGAGTATATTTTCCAACTAAAATAAAAAAAGATAGTTTAGTAGAATGAGGTTCCAATTACTGCAAGATGTTAGAAGAGTCAGAAAAATAGTCTTATCATTTTATACGAAGAGATAATTTTCATGACCCCAACTCGTAGCACTTAAATAGGATAACCTTGTTGTCGTGTTAACGCATCTCCTCAAAATAAAAAATACATTTTATTAATGTAATATTAAATCCAATAAAGTAGTTGCCGGAGTAATATGAAAAGATTAAATAGTTAAAGGATATACATCGGAATTTTCCCTTAAATGTAGGATTATTCAAAAGTTCTATAGGCTGAAGGCTTTGTCCACCTATCCAACAAATGTGGCAATCATTATCGAACATGGGTGCCACCCCATAGTTGACTATTTAAACCTCCCTAATCCAACAACTCCCACCTCCTTTCTTATAAATGGTATGCATTCCCTAATCAATTGCCCTCCTTAAATTTCCCCAGCAGAATATTTGATCCTTCTCCAAATGAGTCCATGGCACATAACCCCAACTATTTTTCTCCTCCTCATCTCAAGCTCCAATGCCATCACAAAACAAGGCAGCTACCTAACTTTGATCAACCAATTTTTGGCTCCCCAGAATGCAGCCCGCGCCGCTCTGCGTATGCCACCACTGGTGTGGGATGTGAAATTAGCCCGATATGCTCAATGGTATGCCACCCAAAGGCAGAGGGACTGTGCTTTGAAGCACTCCAACGGGCCGTATGGTGAGAACATCTTTTGGGGCAGCGGCAATGACTGGACACCAGCTCAGGCGGCCATGGCGTGGGTTGCTGAGAGGAAGTGGTACAGTTACTGGTCCAACTCTTGTGCTGAAGGACAGGAATGTGGACACTATACCCAAATTGTGTGGAGCTCAACAAAGAAAGTTGGGTGTGCCAGGGTGGCTTGTTTTGGTGGTAGGGGTGTTTTCATGACTTGTAATTATGATCCTCCTGGGAACTACATTGGAGAGAGGCCTTATTAAAATGTTTCGTGACAATTCTGCAAGAGAATTCAATTCAATAAATGACAAATTAATGAGATTGTATCATATGTTCTCTTATTCTTAAACTAGTTTTTGCGGGATTTGTTTTTCTCCATTCTGTTTAAAATGTATTAATTATCAAACCATTATTTAGTGTCAAGCATACATACATAAGAAAGAGAAGTTGATTCTCAGCCACGTTAATATTATAGCAAGTTGTTATGTAGTATGCTAAAATGTCAATGAACACACCCTCTCTTTTATGGGGGAACCATTCTTATCTCTTAAATGTCTTTTCCAATCTCATTGTCACTTGGGTCCCAATAAAATTTTTAAATAATATGTTGTCATGTCATTTGAACTCTAAATTTGGTCAACATAACATTACTGTTTATAGTTTCTCCCTTAGTGACTAAGTACACCTTGTCTATATACACATTAATAACTAAGTCTACCTTATTTTTTGCTCATCTATTATACATTTTGTCCTTTCCCAAAGTTTCCACTTCTATCCCATCTTACACTCACATTTATGTTTTTCTAGTCAAATTTTTACTTTATTTTTTTGACCCTTTATTTTTAATTAAGTTATTATATTTTTTTGTAATGATATATACATATTATTGATTATATTTTTATAAGAGTTGATGGATAATATGTTGGGTCAAGTACAAAGTGAATTAATGTAGTTATGAAGTAAGATAAAATTGAACTTTTAAATAGATTGTTTCACATGAATTGTATTTTATTATGATTTTAATATGCATTCTCCATAATAGTTTTTGTTCGTATATGTTATGTTTTGTTTGATACTTATTTCTAATATTTATAATAATATTAGTTATTGTCCGTGCCTGAAGGTATTATGTTACTTATAAAATTTCAACACACAACAATAAGATATTTGAATAATTTCAATACATAGCAATTAGATTGGTTTTGAACATTTTTTGTTGGTGTAACTAGTATCTTTTTTTTTTTTGTTGGTCACCTATTTTTTTTCAATTGCTAATTAGCTTGGGCTTTGGATTTTTTTTTTATTTTCTGAGAACTATAGGTTTTCATACAGTAGTGATTTATTTTTGGTATGAATAATAAATTGATGATTTTATTTTTGGATTATAAAGACAATTTAAATTTATTGATTGATAATAAATAATAAATAAACATCAACCACTGTTACTAAGATACGTGATAAGAAGATCTACTTGCGGTGTATTTTATGTGCGAATCAATTTGTAATAAGAATGATGAAAAATTATATAGTAAGTATATAATGGTTTTTTATGAAATATTATACCAAAGGTTTTTAAAAAATCGATAAACTAAATAACTTACATGTCAAAAAATTGTGACATTGTTCATTTGGGTATTGGTTTTTTGTGTTGTAATAATAGTTTGTACGAGGTTATTGGGGTCAAACGTAAATTGGCAAACCTTGAAAAAAGAAGCACCAAATTTAGAGATATTATGTATTTTATGTGTGTTTAAAAGAAATATTTTTAATTTTATGCAAAATTTTATCATAAAATTAGAAATTAAACAAAACCAACTTAAATCAAGGTACAAACAATACACTTTTAACATATAACATTTAACAACAATCAATTAACAACAATATATCCACGACTAAACCACACGAACATTAAAAATTAAAAACAACAAACTATTGTCAAAACATACACTACTAAACCAACACGGAAAAATCATCAATATTCATAAACATGCATATATGTTAAACATTTTCTAATTGCACAGTAATAAAAATTAAATAGAAAATATTTGATAACTACCTAGTTATAAAATTGAACAAAAAAAATAATCAACATGAAATAATGAGATGTTTTGCCATTAACAAAATTTGTAATAGATATTCTTTTAACTAATCATTTATGACAATCAATAATATGTTTTGTTCACTTTCAATAAAAATTAAAACTTTGAAAACTATAAGTTTTTATGTAATTCTGAGTAAAGTGATTATTAGGTATGAATAATAGTTCAAAGGTTTTACTTATGTATTGGATATTTGTATTTTTTGTTTGTGTGAAAGTGGTGATGACAATTATATTAATTTTGAAATTTTTTTTGTTCAATTGGTAATACTTGTTATTTTATATTAGTCACTTTTTTTTTTTATTGGTGATTAGATTGCACTTTGTCTTTTTTTTTTTTTTTGAGAACTACAGGTTTTTATATAATAGTGATTTATTTTTGGTATAAATAATAACTTTATGATTTTATTTATGGATTGTATATTTATACTTTTTATTTGTGTGGAAGTGGTGATAGCGATTAGATTGGTTTTGAATCTAACTACTTTATTTTATATCTATATATATATATATAAAGAGAGAGAGAGGAGATGAGATAGTGTGTTTAAAATGTTTAAGAGATAAGAGAGAGTGAGTTATATAGGAGATAGGAGTATTAGAGTTAAATCCAATTATAATCGTCGGATCATAATTTTTGAGATAATTTAAACCATCTTTTATGTTGAAATTACACTACCAGTTGGATGAGTTTATATTTTGTCTCAGAATGATCTGAACCTCTCTTTATCTTTTGGATTCAAACTTCTTTCTATTTTCTTATATAAATGTTTGTATATAAGTGAAGATTAAGAATTTTTAATTAACAGTTTGATTTTTGGTTAATGGTTTATATACAAATGGGGTGAACTTAGTTCCTTGGAGGATATAGATGGGATAGATTTAGTAGTTTGAAATTAAAAAATTAAATGGGGTGAAAAAAAAAATATTTAAGGGGTGAAAATAGACTCACCCAACTTTTATTATAAAGGACTAGCTTTGGACTCTATGGGTGTGTTTGTTAAATGTATTCAGCACTTAAAATGAATGTATTCAACATTTATTAATTAAGTCAATTTGATAACCAAAATTTAAGCTCTCTTAATATGTTAAGTTCTCCTTAAAAATAGGCTACACTATTAAGTAGGAGATATCTTACTTAAATCTAAAAGTTGAAAGTGCTCGGCAAAAATATCTTTAATAATATTTATAATATGATAATTATACCCTGAAATATTTTATAATTCTATTAAAACTCTAATTAGTCTTCTCTTCAAAACCCCTAATTTATATATTCTCATTGTCAATCTCTGTTTTTTTTTCCCTTGTGTTCTATAACAAAAATATACATACATAATTATAATTACACACACAAACGCACACATTGCACACACATAAACGCACACACATGGATTGCACACACACACACACACACACACACACACACACACACACACACATATTGTTAATGAAATCTAATTTATTGTATTTTTTTCAATATTATTTGATTATTTATTAGTTATTGTTCTTTTTTTTATCAGATGTTATTGTTTACTTGTTATGTTATTCAATTTGTTATGTTCACTTATTGTGTTATTCAGATATTATTTATTTATTTATTTTGATCAAATATTTGTTAAATGTAGACTACAATATAATAATAGTGATTATGATTTATGTTATTATATATTTTATAAATATTTTCAAATTAAAGAGTGGGATAGTAAAACTGAAAATTAATTTATTTTCAGACATCAGCTCTGTGTAGTTATCAAACAGTTTAGTTCAATTCAGTACTTAAATTTCAGTGAATGTCAAACAATCCATAAATTTAGTCTTCAGATTTCAGACTTTAATTTTCAATTTTATCAAACATCACCTAACTTTTGCACTTAATCACGCCCTCACTGAAACAACTGTTCCACAATGAGCTTGACTTTGCAAACAGGAATAAAATACTACACTAAGAATTAAGAGAGTATTTTGCGGAGAAAATTAAGGATCGTAGAGAGTTTAGGAGTTTTTGATGAATCGAAATGAAATATGATCATACTTATGGGTTTACTAAATCATCCAACCGCTTTTTTCTTTGGAGAAATTGGTTGTGGGTATACCTTTTTGATCTTATTTGGATACTCACAAGCTTAACTTGTAAGTCAGTAAGTCCTTTAAATGATAAAATATTTGTAAGTAAGTACATATTTCAGTTTTATTTTTTTTATATTACATAATTATCCCTACCTTGATTCATGTATATTTGATTGACAGTTTCCTTTTCTTTTCTTTTTTCAATATGAAAATATTTGAAAGTGATATATTCAACCATTTGAATTCTCAAAAACTGATCTCAATACATTTGGTATTATCCTTTTGAACCGAGAGTTTATCTTCTTCACCATTACGATTTTTTTGGAGTAAATTTTTGGAGTTTTTCGTATGCAGCAACTAGGTTTTTTTGTTGGTTTTGTGTTTCGGTTATCCTAAGATTTCATCTTCTTCACCATTTCAGAGTTTTTCGAAAAAAAAAAGTTTAGAGGTTGTCAATGTAACTTGTATTTTGGTGTTTTGTATTCCTGACATTTTTTGGAATTAGATTTTTTTTTCAAATTTCTTTTTTTTTCCGCAATGTAATAATATATTAAACAATGTGATAAATTATTCAACAATTGTGACAAGTCTTTGAAAAACAATGTGACAGTATACTCTAAAATAATGTGAAAAGTTATTTAAAAAGTGTGATGATTCCCCGAAAAAAAATGTGACAATATACTCAAAAATAATGTGACAACATATTAAACAATGTAAAAAATTATTCAAAAATTGTGACTAGTTACTGAAAAACTATGTGACAATATACTCAAAAATAATGTAACAACATATTAAACAATGTAACAAATTACTCAAAAAGTGAGACTATAACCAACCTGTATTTCCGGTGGTGGAAGCTTCAAAGTGTGACTATAACTTGGACATTATGTTCCTTGATCTTCTCTACCACGATGAAGTAATTTTTCGACACTGAATTACATGAATGCGCAATAGATGAAGTGTCGAAAATGATTGGATTTGTTTTTCAAATTTAAAAACAACGAAATCAACAAAATTTCTCATCTGTTGATGAATCTGGCGTCCTCGTTTTCAGGGGGAATGGTAACAGTCAACATTTAATCAGGACTGTGATGTTTTTGTTTCCTTAACCAACTTTGAAGGATTTATAATTGTGCTCAAGAGTGATACCACCATTTTGCCTCAAAGTGAATTTATATTCAAAATATTTTTTTTAATTGAACTTTTTCTTAAATAAGTCCTACGGAGAGCACCGGCTTCCGAAGTACCCTTTTTCTTTTTCATCCTTCTGGCCTGAGCCAATTGCTCAATTTTGTGAACATGGATCGGCCTGGTTCAGACTTAGTACCATGAGATCGCAATGGGACTATTAAGGCCATTATGTAGTTTGGGCTGTCCTTCGCTCTCAAAGAGTGGCAGCAGGTTAAGAGATGGGCCGGGCCAACCCTAGGCCTTCTTAGCCACCAAGCATTTGGGCCGGGCTGGTTGAAGCAAAATATTAGTATTCTTGAGATAATAATACAATTGAGACCAATTTATTGATATAATTCACTATAATCCTTAGATTGATTATAGATCTTATCAAATATTAGAACTTAGTTTTAATTTAATAATCAATAAATTATGTCCGATTTTGATGTCGAATACCATTATTCCTCTTTAGCTTTTCGTGAAAAAAAGTCACCATTAGTTAGTAATTACTTGTCAACCTCCTTTCAGTGCCACGTGTCCCGTTCTAGAAAGAACCATGAAACCATGACAGGCCATGCTGTCCCAATCCCATAGAACAAACAAGCCAGTTCACGGGCTCAACATAGCATAGCCTGATAGAAACCCCTGTCCTCCCTCACGAGACTTAAAAAATCATACTTTATGCCATGGCAAAATTCCATTTCTCCAAACACCATCTCACATTTGCCCACACCACCCAACTAATCAAAAGAAAATTAGAACAAATTACGATTTACTAAAGACTAAGTGACGATCCAATAAGATTAAAGCTACAATTGCTCTAAAAATTAGAAACCCATTTTAAATTTTTTAAACCGAGCTTAGCTTGATCCATTGAACACTAATTTAGTTTGTTTGAATCGTAAATTAATGTGATCTGAGTTATAATCTCCAATATAGTAATAAACAGTTGGTCAGTTGTTGGTGTCCAAATACATGAAGACTACTGATACTATAGGATATAAAGAGGATGTGATTCATAATTGAATCATGTAAAGCCCCCACACTCTAACCTCAAATTTTTGTTCATCTTTTCCAAGCCATGGAAATCACATCCTGACATCCATATATAAGCCACCACAGGCCACATTAATCAGTGCCACACACCACCCTGCAGACTTGACTTTCTCTCTCATTGCTCACACCAATTCCCAAGTCCCACCCTCCGAAACATGAAGCATCTATTGCTCCTTTTCTCCATTCTCTTCACAAGCCTCATGTTCAACCACCTCTTGGTGTCCTCACAATCATTTTCTGTAACTGAACCCCCCCACAATAACCCAGACAATGAGTCCATATACATACTTTCCAAGCAACTATGCTGGAACTGCATTGGAGAGTCCTTTCAATTCCTCTTTGCCCACAATCTGGTCCGAGCAGCCAAATTTGAGCTCCCACTGACATGGGACTTTCAGCTCGAGAGGTACGCAAGGTGGTGGGCCGGGCAACGACAAGCAGATTGCCGGTTAATGCATTCGTTCCCAGAAGATGATTTCAAGCTAGGGGAGAATATTTACTGGGGAAGCGGCTCCTCGTGGACGCCAGCTGACGCAGTTGGTGCTTGGGCCGGGGAGGAGAAGTATTATAGTTATCAGACAAACAGTTGCGCCGTTGGGCAGCAGTGTGGGCATTATACACAGATTGTGTGGAGGACTACTAGGAGGATTGGGTGTGCTAGGATGGTTTGTCGCAGTGGGGATGTGTTTATGACTTGTAACTATGATCCACCAGGGAATTATATTGGTGAGAGACCATATTGATGGTGGGGTTTGGTGGTAATTTTGGTCCAAGGGTCAAACAGTAGTATGCAATAATTTTGTGCAATGCTGTATTTGTGGGGAATTAGAAGCTAGGTATGTGTCATAGTGTTTAATTTAAGATGGTTGATATTGTATATGGATGTCAATGTTAAAAATGGTCAAACTGAAACAGCTGCCATGGTTTGACCAATTACATGGCAATAGCCTTCCTTCGAAGCTTTGTTTCTTTTTGAAAATAAACAATGGGATAATCCTATTAATTCAAAAAGGACACATCGTTCTCGAAGAGAGTTAACAAGAAAGTAGGACATTCCTCCCTCCATATATTAAAATTTGAACAATTGACAACATGCTTAACGAGATAATAAACACTCAATTTTCTATCCTTGTGAACGCAGGAAGCAAAAAAACCACTGAACTTCTGATCGCACAACAAAATATGATCAATAAAATCGCCAAAATTTGATAGCCGCATTTGTCGTGAACTCACTGCTTCAATGACAACCTTATAATTTCCTTCCAAAACAATCTTTTGAAACTTTGCTTCCACTGCCAGAGTAATTGCAGTTGATGCCGCCATAGCCTTAATACTATCCTCACCGAGAATTCCTTCAATCTTCTTACAAACTCTCAACAGAAACTTGCCTTCATCATCCCAAACTACAATGCCAATACCAGAACAACCTTCATTACAAAAAACACCCCCATTGACGAGTACATAATATTGTATGATTTTATCTCAAACTACTCAGCTTAACTTTATTTATTAGTTATATATTTTGGTTTAGATTAGTTTTGTGTTTTATAGGGAATTTTGGGTGTTTGCAAGAAAATCAATGCAAAGATGACGTTTTACATTTATTTTGATATTTTGGAGAATTTTTTAAGTAAGATGGGCGAGTCAGGGATGGAGTTGGAAGCCGTAGAGCAACAATTCAAGAAAAGATAGCTTGTAAAGTTATGTGCTATTGGTAGAAAGGCTTTATGGAATAAGCAGAATGATGTTCTAGGTGGACTTGTGTTATACTGGAAGCAGAAACCAATGGAATTTGATAGAATAAGGTTCTACTAGTAGGTGATCTATTTTCTGTCGGTAGGTCATCCAACATGACGGTTCTACTGGTTGGTATTCAATGTTCTGCCGGTAGGTTGACATCAGATTTTGGGGAGGACTTTTTTGCCAAAACGTTGACTGACTAAATATTCAAAGATATCTTCCAAGACTTTATTTGAACAAAAAAGAAACAAATTAGGAAATGAATTTTTGGATAAATCTTAGAGATATTGTAGGAGATATTTTCGAAGCTTTTTTAGGAATAAGAAATAGACATATTAAGAATGAGAATCTCTAGGATATCAGCTATATATATATATATATATATATATATATATATATATATATATATATATATATATATATATCTCCTTGTTTTTCCTATAAATACCAACCCTTTGGGATTTCTTAGAGAGATCTTCTTCCTTCTTGGACGTTCTCCAAGAGGGAGTTGCTCCTCCTCCTTCTTCTTCGTTTATTTTGTTTTAATTTGCAAGAACGAGGTCCTTCATTAGTTACGATATATTATTTCTTTTCTTGTTATTGCTTTCAATTCCTTGTTTTAAATACAAAGTTCTTCATTAAAGTTTATTTTAATAAAAGTTTTATTTTTTATTTATTTATTTGCATGTCTCCTTTAATTGTTTTCAATTTCTTTCGTCATGTTTGAATAGTTTTTTTTCTAGATAATTGTAGGAGGAATTCCAAACCCATGAACTAGGGTTTTACAATGTATGTGATTTAATGGTTGAATAAGTGTTTTTGAAAACTTGTTTGATTGGTCATATCCTCTATTAGTAGTAAACATACGAATAATAAGTGGAGTCCCTATAATCAATTGGATACTAAATATTTTTGTCAATTCATTCATCATCAAAATCACTATTTTTTACTAATTAATGTTTTTAGTTGAATATCATCCGTTCGGAGGAGTTTGATTACGAACTTAGATGAGTTATAGATTTAAAGTGTAAATTTATGTTCATAGGTGGGATGAAATCCAAAGAGTATCTAGTTCTTTCTTTTATTAAATTTATCTTTAATTTAGCTTAGTTAATTACTACAATTCTCAACTTTTAAAAACTCTTTATTTATTTAATTTTTTTTTTTACTTTTGTCACTATTCGAATTTTTCCTTCGTTTTCCCTGAAGAGATGATATTGATAATCAACTGAGTTACTAAACGATATATTCTTATGCATGGAAACTACTTTATTATTTATCCACTTTTGAAGTCAAGCACCCATCAAAATTAAGCTTCACCTCTCCTGGTCTAGTGGGAAACTATCAACGAACTATTCGATCAATTGCAGATTGTTCTAGTCTAGCAACTTGCCTGGACGTTGTCCAAAACTGTTCTAGGGAAGTAGTAGAGAAATCCGCATTTTGTAGTGGTGTCTGAGATACTTCACCTAAACGAACTTTGTTCCTGTTAAACCATATAGCCCAAGTAGCAACCGTCATCAAGCATAGCTTATTTGGATGTAGCAGTTGAAGAGTAGCAAATAACCATTCCCTAAACGGAGGATTCATCTTCAATGGTAACTGAATTTTTGCTACTTTCCAAATTTCTAACGTAAAAGCACATTAGAAAAATATGTTCAATGGATTCATTGGGTAATCCACAGAAGTAACAAAGATTGTCCACACCCATTCGTTTTCGGAGAAGATTGCATTATGTAGGTAAGATATCTTGAGCCACCCTCCACAAAAAAGTGCTAAATTTTATTGGGCACTTGCAGCTTCCAAATAGGCAATGATTATCCGAGGCATGATTATTTTGGAGGCCCGATTCCATAACTAGATGATACCCACTTCGGACAGACACTTCACCAAACTTTATGTAGTGCCATACCAATATATCCTCAGGAAGTTGTTCAAAAATGGGAATAGATGCTATAATTTCTACTACAAAGTCTAGAAATTGTTGTCTCGATACGTCCATCTTCTAGCATTTTTTATCATTGTCTATTAGAACATTAACAAGAGAATCCTGTAGCAAATTTGGCAGAGGGCTAACAACTTTAAAAGTAGAAGGTCGTGGCACCCAGCGAGTAGCTTTCACTCTAATATTTAGATCATTAACCCCTTCCACGACTCCAAAAATACTCCTCCAAGTGTAGGAAGGACACGAACCAAGTTAAGCTTCCATAATGGCAGAATTCGGGAAGAATTTTGCTTTCAAAACTTTGAAAAGCATTGAATCCGGATTTTTGAGCAGTCTCCAAAACTGTTATGTAAGGAGTGCAAGGTTAAAGACTGCTATATTCCTGAAGCCTAATCCTCTTTTATTCTTCGCCCTACATAGCTTATCCAAAGCCAACCAATGAACTTTTCTAGCAACCGAGCTTTGACTCCACCAGAAATTAGCAACCATTTTATTCAATTCATAGTATAAAGAGATGCGTAATTTAAAACATGACATAGCATATGTAGGTACTGCTTGTACTACCACCTTGATAAGAACCTCTAGGCCCACCTTATACAGTAGCTTACCTTGCCAACCTTGAACTCTCTCCTAAAATTTATGTTTGATTGAATCAAAAATCTCCTTCTTTGATCTTCCTGAGATTGCAGGAAATCCCCAGTATTTATCATGTGCATTCACCAACGGAATTTATAACAACTCTTGGATAGCATTCAAAGTCGAGAGACTAACGTTCCTAATGAGAACCATTGCCGACTTAGAAAGGTTAATTTTTTGACCCGAGGCATTCTCATAACACTATAAACACTCCTTTGTAGTGGTATCATTCTCCAACGTTACTCTGGCAAACAATAAGCTATCATCTGCAAAAAGAAAATGAGAGAAAATAGGCCCTCCACGCCATGCCAAAAGCCCTTGTAAAACACCTCTTATCTCATCATCATGAAGCTAATCCGAAAAGCCCTCAGTACATAATAAAAACAGATACGGAGAAAGGGGATCTCCTTCACACAACCCTCTTCTTGGATGAAAATAGCCAAAATGCTCTCCATTGAGCATTATAAAGTATGAAACCATTCTAACACATGTCTTAACCAGCCCAATCCATCTAGCATCAAAACCCAATTTCTGCATAATTCCTTCCAAAAAGCACCACTCAACCCTGTCCTATGCTTTGCTTATATCAAGTTTCAGAGACATATAACCTTTGTCTCTAGGGATTTTCCATTTCATATGGTGGTTAAGCTCATAAGCTATTAGAACATTATCTGTGATTAACCTCCCGGGCACAAACGTATTTGATACATAGAGACCAACTTCAATAAAATCATCTTTAATCTATTGGTGAGGAATTTCGCAATCACCTTATAAATATCATTGCACAGACTTATAAGACGGAACTGAGTCATATCCATAGGAGATTCAACATTTGGGATAAGCACAATATGAGTGTAGTTAAGCTTATTACAAAACACTCCATTGATTAGAAATTCCAAAACTTTCTCCCATAATTGACCAAAAATTTGGTAAAAAACATTACCTATACCACTTGGACCTGGCAACTTAGAAGGATGAATCTGCTTGACTACATCAATTATCTCCTCTGCATGAAACTCTTTTAATAGAAGCTAGTTCATCTCGTCAGAAACTTTTGGGGAGACACAATCTATAACCGAGGATATCTGTGCTTGTGTAGGATTGCTTGAGCTAAACAAACCTTTAAAATAATTAACAATAACTTGCTCCATTCTTTTGGGATGTGTAGTCCACACCCCAAATCATACTTAAGTCCCCCTAATCACATTCCTTTGCCTTCACATGGATGCTTGAGCATGAAAAAAACCTTGTGTTTCTATTGCCCTCCTTAAGCCATAGAGCTTTTGATCTTTGTTTCCATTTTAGTTCCTCTGCTTCAAGCAACTGGTGAGATTTAGCATGCAATGATCTAAGCTCTTCTCTACTTTCCTCTATTACAATATCTGCTTGCAATCTTGTTATTATCTCCCTATTATTATTTAT